TAAACAATGATAAATACGAAACTGACTTTTTCCAAGAAAAAGATAAAATTTATTTAAGTCAATAGGGGTATCTAGGAAGATGGTACCCGTCGATTCATTCTGAATAGTTTTCCCTGTACTAAAATAAATGCAGTTCTAAAATGATCGATCGCCGTAGTTCGAATTTCGCTATAGGACATGGGGACTGGTCCTTCGGATGAGACCGCATAAAGTTAACCGAAGCCCCGTGTCACAGCTGTGGCACGATAAAGATCCCTCTCTGCTCAAAGGCCCTGAACGCCGAGCATAGGTAATGGTGACACTCACTGGATAGCTGAAAAATTGCTAAGGTGGCTATAATCAAACAAATAAATGATCAATCTTGATCCAGCTGCTTGTGTTGTGTTTCTTATTTCCAAAAAAAAAAAAAAAAATTGAAAATCTAGAGGAGGCAATTGCCTCCGTTGCCTCAATGGTAGTTACGGCCCTGATCTCTACCCTAGCTTTTAAAATTATCTCCCAAATTCACCTACAGAAATTATTTATATATATAAAAAAAAATACCTAGACTATCAGGCAGGGATACTGAAATCTCGAAATACTTCCTGTAACAACATAATTTTTATAAAACAGTTACATTCCTCAAAATGCACATACTTTGTGGTCGGAGTGACACATTTAAAAAAAAAAATCTCAAAACTGAATTCGGCAGAAATGTCTGTCTTTCAAGAATATTTAAATAACGGTCATATCAATTATTTTTGTATGCCCCCCCCCCCTCGTCCAAAAAATCAAATGCCTAAATGTCAATCTGAACAGGGGATGGCCTTTCTCCGTGTGTGTATAGAATGTATATTAGAACTACATGTAGATAAACAATTCACAGTTATAGCTTATGAACATCAGTTATAATACCCCGCCCCCCCTTTCAACCGCGCAAATACCAAATAACTTCTCTTTCCACTTTTGATATTTTCCCTGACCAAAATCTGATCAGCACGGACTAAGTGTATCGTCGTGCTAGTGTGTACGGAGTAATGACAGTGTGTTTACTGTTGAGCTTTTATGGAGTTTATTTCTTTTTTGTGATGTATATTTCAATAAATGGAATTCAGGGTGTATATCACTTGACTTGTGCACATCTTCGAACCGATGCAGTAATCTTATTACCAGGTATGGGTACATTTACAGCGTTCGAGGCGTTTTCTCGATATGCATGATCAATTGCATAGGACCTGCAAATCAAAGACGTTGGTTGTTTTGTTCCATTCAAATGATATAATTTCAAAATGTGTTTGCAAATTTTACTGCTTTTTATTTCAAGTTTATTCTGCATAAATAGGCGCACTGTAAAAATACGTACTCATGCATCTAAAATTCTCTTCCAAACTTGCATTTTTTTCTTTTGATTCAAATCAATAATCATTCAAAAATATGATTATCATGTTGTTTATTTTGTTTTTGAAATGTCTTGATCACCTCATGTGTTCTCATATGCTTTACCATCGGAGATGTGCACAAGTCGATACCCAATCCAAAAAATCATTCAAGTGTAACGAGCGCATTGGGGTATACATCGTTACAATGAGACAAGGTATCTGAGAGAAATATGGCGGAATACGGCTATAGTTGGTATGAAACAAGTCGTACATAGATGAAAATGTTGCGTTTTTAAGAATTCATGTCAGCTTTAATAACAATCACCATATATGGTATAAGCAAAGGTTTGTAAGAATAGAAAATTCAACCAGTTTAACAGATCGAGACCACTACCTTATATGGAAGACAATTTTCAACACGTGACGATGTCTTCGTCACGCCCGTTCTCCAATCAAGTGAAAGAGTCCCAAGCATAACAGTCTACCACGTGTTTACGATTCAATGGTTACACGTGGTTTTCGTCGGTTTACTGCACAAAATTTAACTCGTCACCGGAAAAACTGTAGAGCTTCTTTATAACTTTATTAGACCGAAATTGAAAGATTATATTCTAAAGACATTGCTCCATGCTCACACTTAATATTGGAGTTGTTTTAGATGATTAACAGTCGCTTCGTATATCGTACAAACGCTTTGAATTTTGCATATACATAAAACACTTTCTGATAATATTGAGGGGTTAAATAATAATTGCACACTTTCTCCTGCTGTCTAAAACCAAGGACCTATATACTACCTGCGAAAGCTATGTACACGTATATCACGTGAAAAAAACTCATGTTTTATCGACACGATAGCACTTATACGTCTCTTTGAACAAAGGTATACTAGGCCGAGGTATTATAAGTCGATATAAGGCTTCATAAAGCAAATTTTGTAAATGTGAGCATAAAAATGAAAAATTATGCATCATTTTAAATATTTCTTTCACAAATTTCAAAAAAGAATTGAAAATAAGTTTCCAAGGGACAATTCAAGTTGCCTTTAATTTCACAGCTAGGTACTTGTAGTAGCCCACAATGCATTGCGGCTCATTCAGCAGTAGGTAAAGTAAACATATTAGCTTACATGCAAATTTATTCTGACGTCAGAAAATCTAGTGGTCTCGACCTGTTTAATGTGTGACCGATTGGCAGGAATGCTTATTTCTCCATGGCACCTGGTCCAACTTCTAATGTTTTGTACTCCTGGTTTGTATTGTTTCATGTCCTTTTGAGCTTGAATACTGTACGTAATCTCCATTTACATGTATTCCATCACTATGGTCAATAAATGCATAAAGTGAAAATTGCACTGCCAGTGTTATATTCATTTGTGATCTCATCGAGATAAAACCAATTAATGTATACAAAAAGGCCTTAGTAGCTTTGAGTTTAAAAAATAGATGAAAACAAAACCAAAGGTAAACTTAGTACTAAATTTTGTTGATCAATAGTCGAATTAATTCTACTGAATCAAAACCAAAGAACAATGGAACGAGATACCTTTGATTCCATACTTCCTTGAAATAACCCTAATCCTGGATCGATCGATTGTGTAAATTGTCAATTGAAGTGCAGTCTAAAGTAACAAATAATGAAAAGGTGATAAAATGATTCAAGGATACATTATAAACCTCTAAAGCCCCGTGATTGATTGTATCTTACCTATTGCCTTCTTCTGATGTGGAGGTTGTTGGATGGAACTTGGGACTTTTAGAATAATAAGCCATTCTGATTCAAAATCGAGACCTTTTAGATACCAAGAATCCCATGTGAGCAGACACCAATCTTTCATAGATGCATAATATTTCATAATATATTATTTACCGATCGCATTGAGAATTGCTTGGGCCATAACTAAAATTTGGAAACAATACATGTATACGGAAAAATATGTTAATTACATATCATTTTAAAATGTTTTTGGCCCACAACTCACAAGACGCAATTACAAATTTTCAATGAATAAGAATAAACCTTGCCTGTGGTATAAATTAATTAAAAAATCTGGATTAATTTGCCCTTTTTATGCATGTAATGCAAATAATATTTGTTAGACTGAATATTCCCCTTAAATGATGATACAAAAATAAATAAAATTTTTAAGACCCAAGTACTGAGGCGTACAAAATTAAAACTTTTTGTATCCCCTGCCGAACGCTCACATCCGCCGTGTGCTCCTTGTCATGATCGGAAAATATTAGGAAAATATCCGTCGACAATTCAGTGTGTAAATAATAGCTTAACAATTAGTTTGAGAAGCATCAGTCAGCATTTGACTATGTGGTAAATGGGATTTACTGATATAGTCATTGTATCGACCATAGAACTTACGAAATAATGACTTCTAGATCTAATCTTGTTTCATCACCTTATTTGTCAATAATTTAACTCTTTTTACCTCTTACCTCTTTCTAGATATTGTTCATACGTAGAGCATGCTCTTGCACGTCGATTCAGCTGAGGGATATAAACCTCGTAAGTAGTTGATGAAAGGATATTGCTGCATAAGTAAGGGAAGTTGACGATTGAGAAGTTAAAGTCATCACGTTTATCATAAAGCTTGGATGTAAGATTACCATTAACGTCTCATTCAAGTAAAGTATCTAAATTATTATTATATGAAACAGATGTGTTGGACTGGTGGTATCTTTTATTTCAAGCTTACTGGGATAAATCGACATAAGAATGGAAATAACGATTTATAAAAAAAAAATGTCGACTTGAAGGCCACAAAATTTTTTTCTTCTTTTCAAGATTTTTAACAAATTCTGCTTCATATGAATACAAAAATAGGTCTGCACATGAAATTCCAATGGATTGTTGGAAGACCTAAACCCCATATATAACATTGTCGATCAGAAACTCAAGCATCTTTTAAACATCAATTTCAGAGTACTTTTGTGTACAGACTGTTTAACAAAATACCAATGACAATGGACACGTGACAAGGAAAGTAAATTTACAATTTCCATTTTATTGAAACTGTCAATAATATGAAAAGTCTAGACTTTCGTTTATCATGGAGAAAGCTTTTTAAAATAATTGAAAAGTCGTAAGTTTTATGTTTTTGAATTTAGTAAAATTTTGTGATTTCTAAGAGTTTTTAATGTCTACAACTTGACTTAAATTCAGCATTTTGCAAAAATTCTAATTAAATGACTTTAAATTGTTTGCAAAAGCAACTAATCGCTGGGTTGTATTTGCTTTTACATGTTTCATACCAATTTTTAGGTCATACAGATTTTAACTACAGATTGCTCCGTCTGTATGATCACAGCAAAGGGCTCAAGTCGGCTTTGACCTGTCGACAGGGGATGCTGAATCCTCTTTGGTACCTGATCCCACCTCCAATGTTGCCAGGAGTCTGTCATTTTACCCTGATTTAGATTTGTTTTCTTCACTGGATTTATGATATTGATCATTCTGCGTTAATTTTAAACTTTACACATTATCATGTTTGAAAAATACCAAAATAAATATAATTAAATCTCCTTCAATTACATGTAAAATCTGTCTTTAATTAAAAGCGATAAAATAAGGCAAACAGCATCGGCCAGTGACCTAATAATTAGTTTCTATTGATTGTAAATGATTTGCAGACATTGGGTGCTTCGATCAGACTTTATACTTGCTCTGTTTCGAGGCAACTTAAAGGTGTGCAGTGATTGAATACATTAATTGTTTTATCTTGGAGCAACACTATGGTATAACAAGGAGACAGAAATATAAGGTTTGTAAATATTATGGACACTATTGAATATTAATATGCAGTTTCCTTTTTTTTGTAAATTAAACAGTGTTTCTTGAAAAAAAATATTGCTCTCATTTTTATTGAATATTTACCTTGGATTATCTTGTATATCTAGCAGTGGGTGAATTTTATGTAAAATGAACGATAGAGATTAAATTTGAGAAACATTTTTTGTTATTAGAAAAATACATACTTGTGATATTTAAATATGATGAATTCCAAGGAAAACTTTGTGATGTAGTTCATCAGCGGAATACGGTATGTGTTATTTTGAAGAAATTACACACAAACGTGTGCACATTTATATTTGCACATCTGTTTGCTATGATAATCCTTAAATTTAAACACTAAGAAGCTCTTTTAAAATGTTTTCTAAATAGAAATAAAATTTTAACATATAAATACTGAATTCTCATACTATGCAAATCAATAAGAATGATTAAAAAATCTTTACTTTTTGTATCTTGATTACATGCACTTCATACAGTTAACACCATTTCAAATATCAAAAATAGCTTTTGAGTGTTTAAAACGGGGTGAAACATTTTCCATGCATTAAATGATACTTTATAGCAAAAAATTTCTTTATTAATGGTATGTAAACGTGCTTAAAATGAACGATTTTTAAACACGACTTAATGTATTTAACAATGTTTAACCAAAATTAATTTGATAAGGAACACTTTGTAGGCAAATTCATTGAAACAATGATAAATGTTTTTTTAATATTTAAATTAGTAAAATAGTTCATTTTTGCTATTTTTCTTGTAAACGAAGGTTATATTATTTACAGAAGGATTTTATGTTTAAAAATATTTATCTGATTCTTAAATTATATTCATAAATACATTAAATTAAACATGCTAGTAAACAATAATTTATTTTTACGACCAAATTTTTTAAATGAAAATGGTACGAGCCCCAAAGAATATTTGAAAATTACAAGATAATTCAGTTTCCGTTCTCGAAAAATGCTTCGCCTATGCTACTCTTCGAAGAAATATTTTGCTTTGAATCGTGTTTTTGAAAATACTAGCACGTTTGTTTACTTTGAAAAGAAAATCTTAACAACTCTAACTGCTAGATGTTCAGGTAATAAGACCGACAATTTGTGATTTCTATATTTGAAAACAACGTAAGTCAAGTGAGCGTTTTATCCAACTGAGTGAACTGACCACATTAATTTTTCAATACGTGTATTCATTTCCGAGTTTGGTTTTGCAAAGTGTATGGAAGTGTGTCACAAGAATGATTTGCTTGGTAGGACTTTTTGGATCGAATTTGTATATTTTTGTTCAAGAAATATTTCTTTATAGTTATTATATACTTTTTTGCTTGAAAATATCCTTGGGCTTTTCGAAGGACATGCTTTTTTTTTCTAAATAATCTTAAAGATACTAAAGCCTCCTTTAGGCCAAAATAATTTATCGTATATTCTAGAATGCCTCAAAATCTAATAATTTATTAAGGTATTAGTTTTTGAGGCATACTAGAATTGAACCTCAACCAAAAGAATATTATATCCGGGATTTAGATCAATTGCTTTTACCATGACTAGAGGAATTTTAACGCTTTTTTGACATATACCAACTTGTGTCTTTGTGGATTTACATACATCCTGGATAACCAACATGACTGCTTATATGTTTTCCGACTGGAAACATCGCGGAGGAAGTCACTTAAAAGTGTTGTGATGAGGCAACATTTAATGCTGGCTAATTAGCGGTTGTTAATGGAACTAAATTGCAGGCGCAGTTGCTGATGCAAAAGTACATCTTCCTGTTTCACTGCTTTAGATCGTTTATATACTTAATTCTCTTTCGGAGTTCAGACAGAATGGTTTTTTGAGTGCTTTTAACTTCATCAAAATGCAGGAAAACAGTAAATCGCTCATATGATGTTGAAAACACAGGACTAATGGAACATTCTTAATCACCGACACTTCCTTAAAACACTGACGTATCTCACAAGTAAAATTCTCCCTTTTTTGCCTCTTCTCTTTGAAAAATTTCAATGGATTTTTTTAGTTTGATATCATTTAATAAAGACATACATGTTCATATTTATAGTGAGGTATGTTAATTTGAGTGTAGGATTTCAAAAGCTTAATCACTAGTCTCGTAGTCACTATCATAAATTAATGACGATATTTTAGAAAACACGAGAAAGCGTTTCTTCGTGTTTGACATTTTTAAAAGATCAAATGAGACCAAAGTGAGGTAACCTTTCTGATGGAAGTTCGGGTTTCGTTTGTATGTTTTTCAAACTCTTCTGCGTGCTATTTGTCCATTTGTTAACTTTTTCATATTTTGTCAGAAGGACTGGAAGATTTTAAATTTGCATAAATAGCATCGAAAAGTGAGAATACAAAGTAAAAACGAAGCACCCTTCCCATTAAAGTTTATTAATTCCTCACAGGGAACGTATATGATCTATTCTTAAGAAGGACTACTAGTATATTACAAATGTATTGAAAACATGCGTTTAAGAGCTTCGGGTTTCATTTGTATGCTAACCAATTCCTTTTTCTCCAAAAGAACATCATTGCTACAAATACTTATGACCAATATTGGCGTGTGGTATTTTAAGTGTTTGTTTTCTGTCTTTTTCATGTAAAAGAACCTCTCCGAGACCAACTCTACTTTTCTTTTACTTTAAAATGCTGAACACATGATTCTTGAATGTTCAAGAGAAAGCTATTCAGTTTAAGATTGTATACATGTATAAACTTAATTCCCTTTTTACAGATCAGACATTAATGGCGTGCAGTAAGTGCTTTTAACTACATCAAATTGAAGGGAAATAGTGAATTGTTTATAAATTTTAAAATGAATACAGCGAATATCAAAATATTTATTCATTACCGATACTTTACAAATATTGACACCTAAAAACTTCCTTTTCTGCCTCTTCTCTTTCAAGACATTTCACGGGATACTGTTTCATTCAATAAAAATATATATATTCATATTAATTTTGAGGTATTTAAAGTTGATTGTAGGATTTCAAAGGCATGGTTACTTGTCTTATCGTGCTTAACTTTTATAGAATTTAGATCAGAGTCCAAAATTAGATTAACCTTCCTCTGGAAGTTTTGATTTTGTTTGTCTGTCCAACTGTCAAGCGTTCCGTTTGTTAACTTTTCATATTTTTACCTTCAGAATTAACTTTGCACAAAATTGCAATGAAAAGTGAGAATCAAAATTTGTTCAGTGAAGCACCACTCCCATTAAAGTGAATGAATTGATTGAATTCGTACATGGGGAACATATAAATGTGTTATTAAGAACCACTGTTGTTTAAAATTTGTTGATAGCATGCTTCTAAGGGCAACAGGTTTTATTTTGTATGTAAAAAAAAAGCTTTGATTTTTCTCCTCAAAGAATATCAATGCTAATTGGCATGTGTTATTTTCCGTTTATATTTTAAAAGCCTACTTCAGTTAAAAGAATCTCTAATAGACAAATTCTACTCTGGCATACTTTTTCTTTTACCATATAATACGGAACACAATATATTTTATTGTTCAATAGAAATCAATTCAGTTTAACATAGGATTTTTAAAGAAATATTTTATTTGTTTAGGAGACCAGATAATCCTATTATTGATAAGCTTAACGATTTATTGATAAACATTTACCGTTTTAATGTGCAATTCACAGTTGAATAATTAGTACAATTAAATTGTGAAGTTACTGTATGCAAATCTCAGGATCGCTTCAACCAGGTTTCATAAATTGAAAACTAGATTTAACACAATGGGGTTGTAAGTTTTAAATTTAGTGGCTGAAATTCACTTGGTGTTTTATTCCTCAAAGAAATGTAATTTAAAAATGGGAGATAACTGCAACAACTTGAAGATTTGAAATATATTTATTCCGCGGCAGAAGATTTTTGGGACAAAAAATAAAGAGAAAGCGCAATTATTGCCAATATCATCATATTTTAAATATTTATTATTACTAGTAACTTAGTTAAAAACTATAGTTAAAAATGAGTGTTATATATTTTATAGCGCAGGAACGTATCTTTTAGGCACAAAAACCGTTCACGGTAGCTCAGTCGGTAGAGCGCTTGCTCCGTGATCGGGAGGCCATTAGTTCTAATTTTGGCCGCGATTGACCTAAGTCGATTAAAAAATGGGTAGCGAATGTTCTTTCGCCATGAGCTCGGCACTTGAAGTGAAAGTTGCGGACCCGTCGGATCAGACCCTAAAACCGAGTCACGGCAGGCGTTGGCACGATAAAGATCCCTCACTGCTCAGTGGCCCTGGGTGCCGATTAAAAGGACAAAAGGACGCCTCTACATGAGTGAAAAATTCTAGAATGGGACATAAAACAACGTACAATTAGTCAATCAATCTAGGCACAAAATCATGGCAAAAACCAAGAAATTATTGTGAAGTTTATCTGAAATTTTAAATGTTGGGTAAAATTTATTATCAAACATGAATGCTTTCTCTTTTTTTAATCTTATTTTGTGATTGATTTTATAGTTTAGTACTGGCATTTACAATACATTGCTACTTTTTTTTCATCCAATACATAAGAAATTGATTGAGTATATTACTGTAAAACTTCAATAATTCTAGAGGAATTCTTCAATAATTCTAGAATTATTAATTCTGTCATCATGTTACTTGTAGCGATCGCAGATCTCAAAATGAAATTAAGTCTGCTACACGTGTATAAGATAAATAGATATGATATGTCGAGATGTAATATTGCAGAGAGAAAGCAGATAAAAATGTCAATAAAGCTTTATCATTTTTAAACATCACTCGTACTTGTTGAAATTGGGTTTTTCTTGTAATTAATTTACTTTTAAGCTATTGTATTGACTGGTAAATACACAGATATCATTTACACCCACAAACTCAATCTATGAACACACATTTAATTAAAGATTCCTAGAGAATGATATAAAAAAAAACAAATTGAAAATGTGGAAGGAAAACCAATTAGAAATTTAAAAAAAAT